TGTAAAAGGAATTGACCGTTCTGAAAATACTGAAGCAGGAGATGAGCAGCGTGCCTTTACATATGATGACAGCACGGAAATGTAACCACCCGCATGCTGAGAATGCTGCTCCGACAGAAATACTACATGGAAGTGACCCCGTGGGAATAACCATGTTGTTAAAGTGAGCAATGGCAGGGCTCTAGGAGAAGAAATTTCAGTGGGGGGTGAGGTGGAGCTACTGGCCAAAACTCAACAGAATGTGACAGTCTGGCAGTGCATATTAGCTGGCTGTTGTCTCATCTGCCAACAGCTGCTAGCTGCACTCCATATTGCTTCATTCAAAAGCATCAGGGAAATCTCAGAGGTGGCCTCCTCTTGCTGTGGAATAAGCAGAAGTCAGTTAGCCCGTGCTTTTCTGTGGCTGCTAAAAGCAGCACTCAGGCAAGTAAATGTTTCAGTGTTTTGTATGGAGTTGACATTTATTTTGAGTGATTTAAGACCAGCTGTTAGGAAGGAAAAGGAAGGCTTCAAATTTGGCATTCATTGATGCTTATGCAAACTGTCTAACTTGGTGGCTGCTTTCCAGCATGGCTTCAAAGGGCTTTCCATCAAAATGGATATTGTAAGTAAAATTTTACCTCCATCTAGCCTAAATCTATAAGCTTGAATCTGGCATCTTTATGCATCCCCCATTATGTGGCTGTAAATGGAGGTACAGTGTGGCTCATCACCTAAAATAAGTTGCATTATGGAGTAACCAATGATAATTCTAATTTCAAAGTAACCTAAAATTGACCATACTGAGTTAATCTCTAGGCTAAGGGCCTAAGACTAGACTAAGGGCCAGGTTCCGACAGTGACCATAAACGGATGACAAAGGGCAAAAAGGACTGAAGTGTATGATACTAACTAACTTGTGGAGATAGCATACTATACTGGTGCTCATACAACTGAGGCAAGAAACTGATAGCAACACTATCCAGATCCTTTTGGACAGTCTAGGATCTGATTCCACATAGGTTTTATACTATTACTTTAATTGAAGTCTTACTGATTCAGAAACTTAACTGTGCCATTTATTTCATGCCAGTCACTATTTACTGCTTGAACTTGCATATATATACATATATGAAACATGAACCTCAAAACAGGTGAGCAATGCTGAATTTAGGTAGAAAATAAGAGATGTTTCCAGGCATGTTATTTCACGAGACATCTCACTGCAGACTCTGTGTCTGGTAGGCAGTGTACTGCTAGCTGGCTGCGGTGTCTCTGTGTAGCAGTCACTACTGCACTGTCACCTGCTGCAGGGGCACCTCCTTGCAGTTTAAAGGCAGTTCCTTTGGAAAAGTGCTGGGGTTCTAACTTCCAGGAATGCAGGTGGTGCATCTGTGTGTGATGGGATGGCAGTGTATGTTAGCTGGTTGAAATTCTGACACCAGCTAACATGCAGTTGCTGTCCTTTTGCACATACCTTCATCACCAAAACGGAGAGCTGCTACTTTTGTATAAGGAATATTTTGGGTCCACCTGATGATTGCCTTTTTTTTTTTGTCCATCAGGCTCATTTTTGGTATTATAGCGGTATCCTGTTTTTCTGTTATCCAAAGAATTGTGAGAATTTTTGGTTGATTTAGAATCTGGTTTTCATCTGCTTTTAGATACCAAGGTAACAGGAAGTTTATAAATACTTGAAACAGGTAAATAATTCAAACATTTCAAACAATTTTAAGCTCTGGAACTTTTCTGAAAGCAAAAGAGGCACAGTTTAAAATGTTGCAGGAGTTTTAAAGTTTGATTTTTTTTTTAAACTTTTTTTTAATAATGATATTTAGCAAATGCAATTTGGTTGGTATTTTTGGGGGCGGGGATGTTGTTTTGTTTGTTTTTTTTAACTGTGTAATTAGATGCTGCAAAGGCTTAAAATCACTTTCACTAACTGCCTGAATGCTATATCTGAAAAATAATTATCTTTCTATTCCATAAAAAAAATAAGAGAAGTCAACTTTAGAGTTGTTATTCTCCCCGGCTTCTCAGAATAACTTAATTTGTAAAAGGCAATACATTAAAACAACTGCTCATAGTCTCACCAACCGGGAGACACAATTTGAATAGGACATAATATACTTCTGAAGAATAAAGGCTGGAAGCACATTGATCCTTTTGATTCATTTTACACTGGAAGCTTCTATCAAACATAGTGCCACAAGCAACAGAGTTTTACCTCTGTCCTCATCCTGGCACTTCAGGCACTTACAGAATGGAAAAGAAACTCTTTGTTATTACTTGCTTTATCTGAGTGCTTCCGTATGTGCCTTGAAACCTGAAGGTCTCCTAGGAAGAGAAATAGCATCAATGTGAATGTTTGCAGAATTAGGGTGATCCTAGCATTGTGTGTGGTGATTAGGCAGTGTATTGTTAGTTAGCTGTTGTTCTTACACCAGCAACTGACTACACTGCCACATTAGCACATCACTCTTGAGACAAGGATATAAACACTCTTGTAAATATCTCATTGGATCCTTAGCTGGCATGGGGCCCAGTTCCCCTGACTGAGAGGGGCTGTGCTAGGTTATGCAAACTGAGTGAACTGTAGGGTATAAAAATAAGTGTAACTGTTTTTTCACACCCTGAGACAGCTAATCCAACTGGTTTCTAAAGAATTTACTAAATTATGCAAGTGTTAAGTGTTTGGGTTCTGTGTGAATATGTTTCCCTTACACCACTAAATGTTTACTGGAGCATTGATGCGGGGGGTCAGCAAATGAGTATTTTCTGATAGTACCTGTATTAACAGGGAGGTTTCCAACCAGGGACTGAAATGGATTTAGCATATTTGCACTCCCAGGCAATTTTTTGGAAAGAGGAAGTGACGTTAAATGCTATCTGTTGGAGATAATGAGGATGTGTCAGACCTAGGGAGTGAGGGAAGCATGAGATAGGAATGAAGGAAGTGTTAGGATGAAGGGTACAATAGGTGATGCTCAGATGGAGTCGAAGAAACTTTAACATTCATGGATTGAACTCTGTTAACCTTCTTAAGAGGACAGTTTTATCTTAAATTGGTGGGATTATTTAAGAATCCAATAGATACATTTTAATCTGTTTATAGCATTTGAAGTTTAGTATTTTTTATATGATATATCCTGCATAAACTGTAAGTTGATATTTATACAAGTAAGTATTCATATTATTTTGTGGGTTTTTGAGTATAGATAAATGTCTGTTTGTATAGCAGTGTTCTGACTTTCCAAATCTGTCTAGATTTGGCGGTTAAAGATGCTTTACCCTGGACAACTGGTAACTTGGTTTTAAGAAAGAAGTGATTCGTTTATCAATGCTCTGCCCTAAATATTACATTGGAAGAGCTGATATGTCACATGAAGAATAAGTAATACAAACATACTGAGTTTTTGGAGGAATGGTAATTAGCAGTGAACTTTGAAAAACTTACTCTGTGTAGATTCAGGATTGAATGGTACCTATATTAAAATTTCTATAAAAGATGGATGTAGTGGATTGTGACAGTGAAATAAGAAATTCAATGACTGTTTTGTCAGGCAAAACCTTATTTTTCTATTAATCTGAAGTAAACGTAATTCAGGAAGCAGTGAGTGAAATTATTCTGAATACTAGGAAGGATATTTGATCTTAATGCTGGCATTGAGTTATTTAAGATCACAGCGTATCCTGTGAAAAACAGAATATGGGCTTTAGTAAGTGAATCACAAGCAAGGTGTGCACACTCCCTTCCCTCCGTTGTCCCTTCCAAACTGGAAAAGGATACTGCACTGTTTAACTTTCATAGGGTATTTAACTAACTTGAGTGAAGTTTCCCATATGCTGAGTAACTGTCAGGCAACACCAGGACTACAAAAGATATTTTTTTTTCAGGTGTTCAGCTAACAGCACCCAACATTCCTTTAGATCTACCCTTTCTTCTTCAGTGATATGAGAAGCAGGGAGCTATAGCACTGCACATGAATGGACCTGCATGTTTTACTCATGTACATTTTCAAGTAAAGATATCATCCACCATTGTGTCCTGCCACTTAGTTCCATGGAATCTGGACTGCTCCCAGTGAGGGGAGAGGATCCATATCTTAATTCCCTTCCTGCTCCGTCAAAGCAGTAGGGACATGTGACAAAATTCACTTGACAAGTTCTGCTAAATGTTCCCAGGACTGGAACTGTACATGGGCGAGGAGACTGGAATAAAACACAGGACCTCAGCATAAGAACAGAAACTGTTTTGATGGGTTGGATGTGGAGTCTTGTGGGCTAATGACAAACAGCTCAGAGGCTGGTCTAAAACACCAGCAGTCGGCACATTTGGACTAACTAGACCCTTACAAAGGTCTTAACTGATCTTTGGAAGTTAGAGTGGCTTAAATTGTCATGCATAAGGTTTGACTTCCAAAATGATGGTTTTCATTACTGAGGGTGACTTTAAAGTTTAATCTTCCACATTGGTATCATTAAGCAGTCTTTTAATTTTTTTTAATGTCATTATCTTTCATGGAATTTTCTGTGGAATTCTCAATGGATTCCATACATGAATGAAAAATACTTCTTTTTTTTTTTTAACTTGCTTTTGAATTTCGCACCTTTTTAATACAGTTAAGTGGTTATCTTTGTTGGAAAATGTTTTGAAGCACTTCAGGTATTTTTGGTTAGTCTTAGAAGAGAACAGCACTACTGCTACCAGTCCTTTTTTCATGTAGAAAGCTATTCTGAGACACTATTTTCTCCTGTTTCTGTTTTTTTCAGCCCTCCTTTAAGACTTTTTGTGCCTCCTGAAACCTGCTGAAAGCAACCATGTACATTTACACAGGCCCTGCCTTCACCCAGGTCAGAAGGCTGGGAATCCATCAGCAGATGAGCTTATAGCCAAGGCACCGTACTTCAATGCAAATGTATGGAGAAAACTAAAGCAGTTAAAGACGTTGTAAGGGTGCTGTAAAGGTGAAATGTAAAATTAGTCAAAATACAAAGCAGGCAAGAAAACGTTTTTGCAATTTTTTTCTTCTAAAAATTTTATTTTCTATGTACAGTTTTTTACAACTAAGTTGACAGCTTCACAACTCAGTAATTTCCCTTGAGAAGGTATTGCAAAGCTGGTATCTTCAGCTGTATTGGTCTCTAAAAACCCTGGTATGATACCTCTGCACCCCATGTCTTTCAGTCAGGTCAAATATGTGTTAATGGACTATCAAAATCTATTTGTTACTCATTATATGGGAAACAAAACTCTTCTGTGCAAATACTGAGTAATTTATCAACAAAGCCTCTTCTTAGTAATCTTCCTGCTGATGACAATGCTAATTAGCCATCCTCAGGGATTTAAAGAAACATCCAGGAACTTTATGCAAACGGAAGGTCCATCCCTGCAAGGTACTGATTGCTTTGCCATTCTCAGTAATCTCGGTGGTTAATCCAACATTAATAGACATAGTGTAGCTGAAAATACTAGCGCCAAAAGAAGTAACATTACCTGATGGTTTAGCTTCTAGCAGCGTTTCCCAGGAACGTAATAAAGCTGTGTACCTGTGCTGTTGAATAGGTTCACAGTGTGAATGGCTTCTTCAGAGGTCTTCTCTTTTTTTCATGATAATCTGCCTGATTAACGATGCTACTTCTGGTTTGATACTTTCTATGGGCTCTTCAGGTCTCCAGAATTTCACAACTTTACCCTCAGGGCTGACAAGGTACTTCCAGAAATTCCATCGAGGCTCTTTCTTTGAAGAATCTGTAAGAATGGCATCAGGTCATTTAGTGATTTACACTTGTCATTGCTTCATTATCCTGCAGTGGTTCTTCAATTATTTATGCTGAAGTAACCCCACTTTGTTCTTTGCTAGTATTCTAGGCATGGATTAACCTTTTGGTGTTAGTGATCTGAAAAGTGGTGACTCATGCTCTCCCCTTATTGTAGAACCGTTTATGAGTTCCTACTTTTACTATGCTCTGCTTCCTATGGAGGAGGATATGAGGGCTGCATACTTATTTGGGGAATCCTCAGTTCTATGTTGGTTTAAGGGAAGTGAAGTGGGAGCAGGAAGTCATACTGGTGTTGGCTTAGTTCAACTGCTTTCATCTCATGAGGCAAAACCTTACCGGTATCTTTGTTATCATGAATACCTGACAAGATAATCTCTGAGATCAAGGGGCTATCAGGAAACTATGTGGCTCCTAGAGGAGGCAGAAGCAGTTTCTTGACTCTGGTATTGTCCTTGGAGAATCTCACAGGTTTAGAGGGAAATCTCTTTTTGAGAGAAGAACTAGAAGAAAATTCTGGGAGATTTTGGCTGGGGAACAGGTGCCCAGTGGGGAACAGTGCTGAACCCTACACTGATTCTTGGTAGCAGTGGGTTGAACTTTGCTGTTGGACTAATTCGTAATATCATGCTTGCAAGGGAGCACCATGGCAAGCAAATTGGTGTGGTTAAAGCTCATGTAATGGAGGCTGTGGCCCAGCTAGTAATTATATCTTTGCTGAGTTGGTGTGTCTAGGATCAGTCCTGAAGTAACATAACCCTGTCTCTGAATATTCTTCCAGTGTTCATTAATGGATATGAGTATATACTCATATATTTCATATATGAGAACTCATACAAAGTATGAATACATAGGAAGCTGGGCATTATTTGAGGAAAAGTGAGGCTACAAACCTTACTCTGGCCCACCTGCTGCTGTGAAAGCTCAAGAAGCTGTTGTGTGAAGGCCTTGGCACTGTGTTTATGCTACCAGTGGATTCTTTTCGCACTAGACTGTCTGACAGTGCTGGACAAACTAGCTAGTAGTCACAGTCATAAGGGGGTGTAGCCTGAAGATGTTCAACCTTCTGATTGTCAAGACAGCTACATGAAGAAAACAGGTGCTTCTTTAATTGAAGATGCACAGTAATTTCATGTGAAGCAAAGGAATGCAGCGAAAGAAAGACCTTATTCCAAAATATTTAAGTACCAGAGGATCTTTCTCCTTCTTTTTGGTGAACGGCACGTCAAATAAGAAGGGACTGAGTAAATATGACTGTTCTGTTTTTGTATAGGTATTAGCACCTGGTACTGATTGCACTTGTAGAATCTGGATTCATCCCACCCAGCTGGTGCTCTAGTCTCTAGGTGTGCTCTAGTCTCCTCTATAGTGAGCTGAGAGGCACCTCCAGAGTGCATTCAGTGATTGCACTGGACGTCAGGCAGCTCAGAGCAACGAGGCTTTACCTGAGGTCTTTGGTGACATGCCTAAGGGGAGGTAGGAATAAACACAGTTACAGTGACGATGGTGGCCACTTAAATGAGTCCTAAATGATAGTAATTTCTAAGTATATAAGAGGTATTCAGAGAGGATATGGCAAGAAGCAACAGGCAAGTGGCATGAGAAAGATTTCATTTAGATTTTGAAATAGCTTTCTGACAAGAGGAGCTGTGAAGAGCTGGGATAGACTGGGAGGTTTTGGATTCTTCCATACTGTAAGTCTGGAGAAGCACATACAGTACTGATTGGGGGAAATGTGATCCTGTATTGGGGCAGAGAAATGGAATACAGGTGTGGGCCTTTTCCCACCTCATTTTCTAGTTAAAATGATGTGATAGATAAGTATTTTGTTCTAATTATCCTTTCTTTCATATATCAGTGTTTAGTATGGATCAAACCCTTGGCCAAAGCTCAGGCAAATTTGGGTGTGTGGGCTCATTGGTCAACTGAAGAGAGATTCATTTAGCTTGTGAGAGTATGAGACTCCAAGTCAGTAAACGGTTGTTGTAACAGGAGTATGGGTGTGTGTGGGTTTTGCAGGTTGGGCCCTGAAGTACACAAGACAAATCAAGGCAAATCAGTTATATATAACTACAGCATATATATTTCTTCTTTATGACATTGTTTATATAAAGGGGGATATATAACTCTGCTAAAACAGGAATCTCCTCATCTGCATGTGTTTATGTAAAATCTTTCAGTAATTTAAAGACACTTCTCCCCCCAATAGTTACATTTTTGTCCATGAGAAGTTGTTTTTCATCAAGTGTCACATAATTTGAAATGGGATTTTGTAGATGTCAGTCTTTGCACTCAGGTTTATACATCTACAAAATGGATATTTCTAACAGGGCTGGTCACAGTAGTCTGTTTTTATAATCAGTGGGAAGAAATTGATGTTTTCATGCTACAAGTCTTCTAACCATATTTTTGATACCCACATTGAAACGAGATGAATTGAATGCTGAGTGCCCCTTTGGCTCCATAGGCTATGAAGGCTACAATGGTTCCTGACAAACCAACTCAGATCAGAGTTTAGGGCAAATACCATGGTTAGAGGCAGTTTGACATATAAAAGAAAACAGTTACCTATTAGAAATTTAAAGGCAGGCTCTGCTTCTGATCCTAGGATCTTGATTTTGTGGAAAACAGGGAAGGTTACTCCATAGTTTCCTCTGGCAAAAGATTCTACTTCCTGGCTTGAACTAGGCTCTGATTCTCCGAACTGGTTGCAGGGAAAAGCCAGCACAGTGAAGTGGGAGGGACCAAACTCTCTGTGTAGTTCTTGCAGTGCGATGTAATTTTTGTCTGTGTGTTGGCAGTAACTGGCCACGTTTACAACTAAAGTTGCCTTCGGAGAAATCAAGTTATGATAGTAAAAAAAAAAAAAAAATTAATAGAGATGTCATAAAGATTATAATTAAGTATTAAAATGGCATCTTCTACTACCACAATCGTTCCTGCCTGAAGGCTAAATTTAATGTCTGATGATAATTTCGTTAAATAGATAAGGATGATAGCAGCTTAAGATAGTTACTCTCAGACAGCTTGTTTTAAAAATCCAGTAAATGTATAAACTTAAACTTACAGCTTTGTTTAAATATAAACGCGTAAAAAGCAGATATTTAGGACAGACACTAAAATCATATGTACTAGATCAGCTTTCAGAACTCAACACAACATGCTACTATTTTTAACTGAGGTTAAAACACACAAATTGTATTGATAGAATCTATTGATTTATAATAAAGAGTATAAAACCCCATTTTTCTTGATTTATTAAATCTAATACTTAATTCCTGGTGCAGGCCTGGATAAAATAAATTTCTCTCTAGTTTACTCTTTGAAGAACAGGAATTTAGCACAAATCTCTGACGAAAATTTCCATAACCAAACTTTTTGTTAACCTACAAACAGAAACCTGTTTTTCAGTAAAGATTCAAGACAAAGACATAATGAAGTTGTAACTTACTTTCCCTCTGTACTTCTCCAAAGAAACGATCCTTCCTCTTGAGTCCTTGACTTCGAAAGAATAAAAATCTTTGATTTTAGGTTTAAAAAATCTGAGTTGCAGCAGGCAGAGAATGGCAGTACACAGAACCATCGACAGAAAGACAACAAAGACCCTTGCTTTGGGCACTGAGTATTTCAGTGGATAAGTAGTTGTAAGAGGCTCCATTTTCGAAATCTTTCGAGAGGAGCCTGCGCAGGCCTGGAATGTGAAGGAGGAGCTGAAATATGAAACTCTCAGCTTGGACTGGAAAGAATAAGCTACTCATTTTGTCCCTGTTGCAGAAGTGGCTGTTTCATTTCACAGTGCTTCTGCTGCGTTTCAGAGCTCTTGGGTGAAGTGCAGAAATCTCTCTGGCTGGGAAAAAAAAAAGAAATTAATGAAAAGTGTGTTCCCATCACCTGAGTATGCTAATTGCTCTGTTTAACTGACCCGTGTGGGATACTCCAGAGTTTGCATGCTGCCTTGAGAAGGGCCTCTTTCATGGGTTTGTGGGGCATCTCTGCCACATCCCCTGGGCCCCTGGGGTGTCCCTGGCAGAGCTGTTACCATACAGACCTGGAGCAGCAGTTTGGGACCCTCTGTTTAGGTAGGAGGACAGCAATGTGGCAGAAGCCACCCAATTTACAGCCTCTGTCCTGCCTCTCATCAACTGCTGTGGGATCACAGGCAGCTTTGTTAGTAAAACATGCACAGGAGGTGAGAAAAATTCCTTGTTTATAGGCTGGCATAAAGGAAGATAATTTTTTAATTTTTTTTTTTTAATGGAAGGGGCAGCTGATGATGGAAAATAGGTATTTGTATTGCTGCTGGCTAACCAGAAACTATCTGTGCTGAGATGAGAAGATGGAAGGTTTGCATGGGAGAAGAATGAATTAGCCAAGAATTTTGGGTGTAAGGCAGGCAGGTCTGGTTGTGTTTGGCTGAGGCAATTGTGAAAGGTACTCTGAACTTTAGAGCCACACAAGTCTGGTGTCTCATCTGTCTTCATTTTACTGTTTTATATTTTAAAAATGTTTGCCTGCTGCTCTTCGTTTCTGAGGGTACGTCAACATGTAGTTGGTACAACTCAAGTTGAGGAATTACAGAATTTTCTCTTGTCTTTTTTCATGTCTTCCCTTGCTCAGTTCCTCCCTCTTTCTTTCTGTCCATTTGGTATTCTGTCTCCTCCTCTCAGCTTTCAGTATTTTGTTTTGTCCTCCTCATGTTTCTGTTCTTGGGCTTTTCTAAGCTATTCCTTGTCTTTCAGCCCGCTTTGCTTGTCAGGCTCTGCTAACTTTCTTTTCCTCCCAGTCCAAACCACCATTGAAGAGTGATTTCTGTCTCGGTTGTTTTTCATATCACTCTTATTTTTTGCTGTGCTCAGAGGCTACATTTTAAAGGATGAAAATAAAATGGGACTTTCTGAAGGTAAAACCTAGAATCTGGGGGTTTGTTGCTTTTCACTGACTCTAGTATAACCTCAACTATACTTGATTTGTACAATATCACAATAGTGGTATGTTCAGCTGTTTCTATAATGTTCTATAATAGTAAGGCCCATGTTAATTTTGTTTAAGAAGATTATATAGAGAGTTTCACACAGTTGTACATAATGAAGAGATGCTTAGGAAGTATTGTGAAATTTCAGTATTTGTATGGGTGTTTCCTGTGATCTGAGGACGTGTGAGGCTTGATGTCTGCCTGGCAGTGAGGCCTGTGAATGTGATGTTCTGGCGCTGGGGACAGAAAAAGTGCAGACTTCCATGCTGAAATGAACAAAGCTGTATTCCACAAGTAGGTACAGGTTACTAATGTTGACTTTTAAAAGCAAGTTTGAATGTGTTTGATTTCTGAAAATCCATGCAAGATCCTGGTGTCTAAGTTATGTCTCAACAGCTTGTAATTTGCATCTAATGCTATTTCAGAAATAAACAAAAAATAAATTACAAGACTTAATATGTTAGAAATATTGACAGGAGTACCTAATAATGATGTAGAAGCCTATTATACTTTCTGTGCTTTCTTACTGTTGTTACTTTCATGTAAAATATTGCTTTAAAACTCTGGAAAACAACATCTCTTGCTCTTACATTCAAATTTTCATACATTCTTATGCTTTTATGATACATTCTTATGTACACGAATTGCTCTATGAATGAATTTGAAAGTAAGAAATGTAAATCTGTCATTTAATCGTTATTTAGTGTGCCTTAATATATTAAAAGTGAAAGCATACCAAATAATAATGCGAGCAAGCCACAGTGGTGGTAAGAAGGTTCAGAAATGAGAAGCGATCTAAGCCCTCCTTTGGGTGAAGATCAGAAAACCAGCCTGGTTGCAGACAGCCAGCACGCGGGTTTGCCCAAATGCCCATCTTTCAGGAAGGGACCAGACCCAGGATCTGGTGCTAAATGCCTGATGATGCCTTGGGCCTTTCAAAGGCCAGTGCTGTAGCCTAGTTCACGAGTGACACTAATTTAGTTTTCTGCTCTGCCACAGGACTTCCGTGTGACAGTTGATTCAGGGGTGCGTATCTGACCAGAAACCATTGTTTCTTTCTGTCTTTTCCCCCTCACTCTTTCTCCATCCAGGTGACTGGCTGCTGGAGCCACCCTCAGCCCAACACCCCTTCCAACATGGCCTGCTGCTCTGAGGGGGCGGAGGAAAACCTGGAACAGAGGGAAGGGGCAGAATGCTATTCAGTCATCACTAATTGTGGTGTTTTGTCTCCTTGCACTTGTGCAGGTCCCAGACTCGGAAAGGACCACGTACGCCAGGTTTAAGAGCTCGATTAAGAGGAAGCTGGCGGCCAGGGCGCCGGTGGCGAGCAGCCCTATTGTCACAAGATGGCAGCAGCTGCACGCAAGAGGCAGCACTGAGGGTCTGGCCGGGCCTTGTGCCTCCGGGGTGGCCCAGCACACCAACGCGCCTGGGAAGGCTCCAGGTCAGACAGGGTGCAGAGGAACATTGTGGTACAGAGGATGGCCTCATGGAGGGACTTCTGAAATAACCCAGTGTGGGGAATTAGTGTGAGGCGTGGGTTGGTGTTCCCCCGTGTCCTGCTGTCAGGGGCTGTGGGGATGGCAGCGTGAAGCAGCAGCAGGCTGTGCCGAGCTTCAGAGGTAGAGCAAGCTCAGGGCCAGCATCCTCTGGGCAGGAGGACACTGCGGTCATGAGAGGGCCTCAGGAGGACACTGCGGTCATGAGAGGAAAGGCTTGGCCCGAGGTTCCTGCTCCCTGTGCGCAGACAGGCTAGGGCAGCGGGTCACACAGACAGCTGACATCAGGGGTGGTGGTGAAAGGAATTAGAGACATGAAAGCTTCATCCCCAGCCATGCCATGCCTGTTGCAGACCAGTCTTTTTTCCTCTGTAATGGAGGTCTGTATTGGGCTGGGTTTCATATGCACTGGGCTGTAACAGTGCACAGGGTTAGCTGCTGCGGCTTTATACCTGCAGTGTTAGCAGTAGCTGACAGGAGAGCAGGAGAATTCATATAGACTTTTCTCCTTCACTTCTGCTCCTTTGCCTTACTGCAGACTCAGCCATAACTGCAGCACTTGAACGGGGCTACGTGGCTGGATGTGGTATAGTGTACGCCCACTGAAGGAGAAGCGTGCCCTGTGTTATTGTCTCTTCCTGTGATGTTTAAGGCTTCAGATGTTGACAAAGGCCAAGGAACACTCACACTCAGTTTACTTTAGGAAGAGACTAGATCAGCTTCATAGCATGGATCAAACTTTCTCCATACCCCATCAGAGTTCTGAATAACCAACTCTAGGGGAGGCTGTTTCTCTCCAAATACAGCAGAAAGGTGAAACAAGCCACTCTCTCCTACTTCCATCAGTGCTAGGAGATAGTGGGGAAGTATTTACATGGGGTGTGTAGAAGGGCTTCCTGGAAGATGTAGGGAACTAAAAAGTTCACTTCTTGATTAATAATTAAAATATTTAGAAAGCAAATAAAAGATGCTGTTTAGTGTTCAGGATGTGTTCTGACGATGCCATCCATGCTTGTTGGTCAGAAAGCGCAATTCTGTCTTCTGCCAAGCAGAATACTGTTAATAATACGTGCCCAGCTCTAGGAAACTCAGGTTCTGAAACAACGTGAAGTCTTCCCTGCTTCAGTTTCTAGAACAGAAAGTCCTGCATGCTGTATCCACTGGCAGTGGTGAAAGTCTGTAATGGTTCTGGGGAATCAGATACTGATTTCCTATGGAGTAGAATCTTGTGTAACCTGTCAGTAAATCTAAGGCTGAATATGAGCTACAGTAGTAAACAGGCACACTTTATAAAGGGAATGATCAGTCTGACCTTTTTTAGACATCTCTTTTAGGATAAGATGAATAGTGCTGTAGAAATGTTTTTCTCTTCACTGACAAAAGGAAAGCAGGGTGACTAGTTCAAATGTTGATACTTGCATTGTCCCACTTAGTGTGTCAGATCTGCTTATAGAGTACTGCTACTATGAAATCAGTGCTACTCTGAAACATATTTGGCAAATAACCCTATGTATGGTTTTTAAAGGAATTGTTTCCATTAAAATTGTTTTCCAGTGACACCTCAGATGCCTAAGAAACTCTCCATTGTGAAAACTGTTGTGACTCCACCTAGCAGTCACACTGCAGCAGACTTGGAAGGGAGGAATAGAGGGAGAGCTGAAATGGAAAAGAAACAGGTGAGTAATGCAACATTCAAATGCAGAGGTAGGGTATTTGCTTTCCTGATGTGTTTTTGCAAATTTTTTAAATTTTTTTTTTACCTTATCTTTGGCCTGGAATATATTATGCTGATAGTACCTTATTGACATGGAGAACAGTAAAAAGAAGAGGTCTGTTTAGGTCTGCTAGAGAAATGTCAGAAGTAATTGCTTCATCATTTATTTGATTCGGCTTCTCTCCCCTTCCTCCAGGCTATCATCCTGCAAACTGAAACCGAAACCAACCTAATGAAGCCCTCAAGATATGTTGGTTACCTCTGAGGGAAAACGTATATTTAAAAAATACGCATGAAAAACGTGAATGACTCAGCTTTCCACTTATTTTAATAACCCCTATGTGTGAAGAAGATCACTTCTTCAGTTGTGCAAGGTGTAGCTGTTTGTTTTGTCACATAGACAGAATGAGGTGCTATGAAAAATTTGCCCAAAAGTAGCTTTCTGAGAATAAAATATTTTGTCATGACAATAGGAGGTTAGATTCTTGGCCAAGGC